AAAAAAAAAAAATTTAACATTTATTCATTTTTTTAATGAATTTTTTTATGTTTATTTGAGAGAGAGGGAGAGAGAGAATGAGCGGGGGAGGGGCAGAGAGAGAGGGAGACATAGAATCGAGGTGGGCTCCAGGCTCTGAGCTGTTGGCCCAGATCCTGATGCAGGGCTCAAACTCACAAGCAGTGAGATCATGACCTGAACCGAAGTCAGGTCACTTAACCGACTAAGCCATCCAGGCACCCCAAACATTTATTCATTTTTGAGAGACAGAAAGAGACACAGCACGAGCAGGGGAGGGACAGAGAGGGAAGGAGACACAGACTCTGGAGCAGGCTCCAGGCCCCGAGCTGTCAGCACAGAGCCTAATGCAGTGCTTAAACTCACAGATCACGAGATCATGACCTGAGCTGAAGTTGGACGCTTACCCGACTACTGAGCCACCCAGGCGCCCCAAGGATTTTCCATTTTTAATCAAGAGATCAAAGACGTTACTTAAACTGAAATGGGAGATACTTAGTGTGATAAAATTCCAGGTTTTCTAACATCTCGAGCCTTGTGAGACCGTGGAATGTGGTCCCTGCAGGGAAGGGGCAAATGATTCCCACCCCACACCCCATAGCTTTTTACCTGCAGCAGTCTGAAGGTGGCCTGTCTAGATTGTTTCTAGTTTTATGGTCACCACTTATGTTTTCTTACTGACTGTGGGCTGCTGTTTGTTGTCTAGTTGTGGAAGACATCAACAAGCGCAGAGAGCCGCTGCCCAGCCTGGAGGCTGTGTATCTCATCACTCCATCTGAGAAGGTAAGTCCCGCCCCCAGAAGAGCTTTGGCTAAGGTTGCACGTGCTGGCTTGGTGCAGAGCATCTGACATTTCTAGGTTAAGCGCGCATTTAACACACTGCTCTGATTAAGCGTGCAGTCCACAGACACGGAAGGAGGGGTACAGTGTGCAGTCGGGGTGCATTAAGCTCTCTCAAACACAGCTGCTGTCCAGAAGGCTGGGTCCGGGTCTCTCCAGTTTCCCCCTCATGCACTCCCTCTCCGGGGAGGAGACCCTCTGTGTCTTGAGTAGTGACTCACCTCTGCAACTCTGGCATTCTATAATTTTGGGTCTGTTTTGTCAGTATCCAGGTTATGGCAAAATTGACCTGTCTTATCATTTTAGGGGGGATTGGTTCAAACCGGTGTCCAGACAAGATTCACCTCCTTGCTTTTGTTTGATAGTTGCCTTAGGTCTCTTAATCTGTACAAATTCCTGCCAGTTTTCCATTCCTTTCTTTTCACTTTTGAAAACTGGCTTACAGCTGAGTTTTTGCAGATGCAACTAAATTGCCAGCACTTCATCAATGTGAGTTTCCTGGAAGGTTTTTGACCACTTTCCTCTTTTGTGAATATCTTCTCAGGAACCCAAGTTATAGTGGCTCCAAAGAACTGATGCGGTCTTCTGGAATGAGCTAAGGAGGATTTTGTTCATCTAAACTCTGAAACAGTCCTACTTTTAAGGCTTCAGAATTCTGTTATGGCCAAACATGAATTCTACATTAAAAAAATCCCCTGCTGTTTTGTCCAGGCAGCTTGGATTTAACCCAGTTCAGATATAGGTCCACATTTGCTGGCAGAATTGGATTCAGTTCCTTCCTTTTCTCCCCCCTCTACAGTCTGTCCACTCTCTCATCAGTGACTTTAAGGACCCACCGACCGCTAAGTACCGGGCTGCTCACGTCTTCTTCACTGACTGTAAGTAGGGCTGGCAGTTCCCACCCCTGTCCTTCCAGGTTAGCGTCTCTGCACAGCAAGGCTGGTCAATAGGGAAGAAATGGTTCTTGCTATGTTTCTCCTGATCTTTTATTTTCTCTTCAGAAGATAAATTGCCTAAGAGAGAAAAATAAACACACGCAAATACAAACCTACTCAGTCATGCCGTCCTTCCTGATGAAAAATAGCACCTCTTCTAAGGACTAGAGGGCTGAGTGCTGAGAAGAAATGTCCAATGCTAGCTTTGATGTTTCACTGTATAGACTTCCAGATATCACCGTAAACTGTAGTGTATTTCCATCAGGTTTTCAGCTACAAAGATAGTCCAATCCAGTGGTGATTGTAGCAGGCAGAACCTGCGTCATCATCCTGGGATTCATTTTCTTACTTTGTGGAGGTTTTTTGCACAGGGAGCCTCATGCAGAAGCGTCTTGGTCACTCTTTGTTAATAGCAAAGAGAGGGGTGGCTGAGCTGGCTAGCTAATGAATTCAGCAACAACAGTGTACCCTCCGTACCTCTCTTTAGGGAAAGTCCCACAGAACTCGCCACTGAGGAAAGGAGGAAGGGTTCTTACAAAGAATAATTGTTTACTATCTGAATTCGGGTGAAAAACAGAGCAGGAACGTGACATTAGTAATAATAAACCAAAAAAGCATTTCTGGGAATCCGAAGCCATATGTTTGGCTCGGGAGAGCCCTTGGCAGTCCTGGTTTCCCCACAGGTGGGTCTCGTGTGCGGCTGAGTTCCTTCAAGGGTCCAGGAGAACTGCCTGTCCTGCCTTTCCCGCCGGTTTCAATTTTCTTCCTTATATTTTTCATTAACATGTCAGATGTGTGGTGTTTGTTCGTATCATAGGCCCTTTTCTTATCCCCTTCTTAATCTCTTATGGGGTTTTTTTCCTTTCCCTGATATCAGAAAGTAGTTTATTAGCTCTCAAATCTCAATCTTATTGCCATTTGTTTCTCTGTTATATGTGGAGGGCCTTTTAGGTGGCTTTACATTCCCTTTATACCTTATAGTTAGTGGATATCTTAAGATGGGACGAACGTTCCAGTTGCCTTCTTGAAATCCTAATAAAATAAAAACCCCACCAGACGTGTGCAACTGCTGAAATGAAGCAGCAAGCGGACAGGAAAGCCTGCTGTCTTTTGTCATATTCTTGCAGCTTGTCCAGATGCCCTGTTTAATGAGCTGGTGAAATCACGAGCAGCCAAAGTCATCAAGACTCTGACGGAAATCAACATTGCATTTCTCCCCTATGAGTCCCAGGTGAGGCTGAGTGGGGTGTGCATGGAAAATCTGGATCCTCGCTGCTCAATCAGGAACCCTGGCAAATCCTGAGAGGGGTGTGTGTAGTGAGGAGAGGTGGGGAGGAAGACTGTGTATTCAGAATTGCCGAATGACGTGCATAAGTGGATGTTGATGGAATGGAAGCAGAGTTCCTCAGGGGTCTGCCCGATACCCTCATCTTACTCTCCGGTTATTTCTGACTTTTTTTTTTGGTCAGCCCTCACACCTTTCTTTGTATGCATTTCATCCTTGCTCGCAGCGTTCACTCCTGCTGGCTGACTCCTTGAATAACCAAAAGGTAGCCAGTCCAAAATGAGCAGGGAAGGAGAGCAGGGGAAGGGATCAGACACCACCTATCTGCTGCACAGGAGACTGGTTTTTGCAGAGATAACCTCCGCTCACACTCTGCTGGAGGAGCAGATGGTAGCCTTCGTCATTGGCTGTTAACACTTCAGATGCCAGAGCGCCGCCACAAACCCCTCCCCTTGGGAAAATTGTTAAGCTAGAAAAGGTGAAGCTGATTGTGAGAGAGTATACAAAATTTTTATGCTGGTTTTGCAAGATTGGTTAACGTGTCTTCTCCCGGCAAACAAGAAGCAAAAATAACAGGACTCCTAGGCATTTTGCAAAAGGTAAAAGATGACTGGCGTATTGCATCTTTATAGATCAGCTTCTAGACACCAGAGAGTGACCTATTCTTAAGTAAGGAGGGATGGAAAACATTCAGTGTGAACTTTTTTTTTTTTTAAAGTTTATTTATTTTGATGGGCGGCGGGGACTGGGTTAGAGAGAGGAAGAGAGAATCCCACGCAGGCTCTGTGCTGTCAGTGCAGAGCCGGACACGGGGACTCAGACTCACAAGCTGTGAGAGCCGAGATCAAGAATTGGTCTCTTAACCGACTGAGCCACCCAGGCGCCCCAGTATAGCATGAACGTTTAAAGACAGTGTCTTTCCCTTAGTGCTTGACATAAAGCCTGTTCCTAGCTTGAAGGCAGGAATTTTTTTTTCTCTGTATGAGCCCACCTGGATTGGGCTCACACAGAGAGTGTATTCAACCAATATTACATTTCATGTATTTTTAAAAAGTGATAAATTTGTTTTTAACCTCAGGTTTTGTAGAAGATCAGGGTAGTTTATATAAGTGAGACTTTGAGAAAATACTGATAGCTGATAAGCTAGGTAATTTAAGAGGCGATGTTAAACTTCTAGAATAAGAAGAAAAATACAACATATTTATTATAAGGATAGGAAATTATTCAATCCATAAAAATCCTTATTTGCCCACAGTCACAGATAATTTCCAGCTTGTCCCTTATTTTATAAAAACTTACAATGGCCTATGAGGGCTTACACTACCCTCCTCTCCTGTTCTTCTAGCCTCATTGTTCATCAGACAGTCTGGGGACATGCCTGCCGCAGAGCCTTGGCATTAGCCGTTCCTTCCATGTGAAAGCCCCCTACTGGTCCTCACCTCCTTTAAGCCCTTGCTCCTACATCACCTTTTCAAGGAGGCCTGGTGTCCTCCCTGTCCAGTCCCCCAGGACTTCTTCCCCTGCTGAGTTGTGTTCTCACACACTTACCAGTTTCTCACATATCATGTAATTTACTTGTCATTATGTTTATTGTTTATTGTGTGCCTTCTCCTGTAAGATTGCAAACTCCTTGAGGACAGTCATGTTTTGGTCACCGATAGTTCCCAAGTGTTTAGCACAGTGCCTGGTCTGCAGCAGACACCCAGCACATATTTGTAGAATAAATGAAAACATGTTCTACAGACTCACTACCAAGGTTGGAGAAAACTCCCGAGAGCTCACCATTTTGCACGCTAACATGATATATATATATGTGTATATATATATATATATATATGTATATTTTTTCCCTTATTTCTTTTCCTTTTCAGGTGTATTCCTTGGACTCTGCTGACTCTTTCCAGAGCTTCTATAGTCCCCACAAGGCTCAGATGAAGAACCCAATACTGGAGCGCCTGGCAGAGCAGATTGCAACACTGTGTGCCACCCTGAAGGAGTACCCGGCTGTGCGGTATCGGGGGTAAGGCAGCGGGCCAGTCTGCCTTCAGTGGCCTCTCGTGTGTCCACTGGGCGAGGAGCTTCCTTTTGCCTTGAGATTCCTCTGGCAGTTGTCCTAAGAGGGTTAAGATTTGAGTGTTCTTGCATTTATAATTCTTCCAACGTTTTTGATATTCTCTAAATTTTATTGTGAAATATAGTGCATACAGAAAAGGTCATGAAATATATATATTCAGTTACTTAATAGCTAAATTTGAACCCCTATGTAACCACAACCCAGGTTTCCTGTGGGGTTTTTTTGTTTTTTGTTTTTTTTTTTAGCTCTTTCCAACCTTTAAAAACAAACACTATCTTTGCAGAAGGTGTCCCAGAGTAAGATAAAATACAAGGACAGTTCTCCAAAGGACATATTCCCCAGATTCTATAAAGTCATTCACGTATTACTTACCTGCTGTGTACTTATCCTGAAGACACAGTCCCTGTCCTTAGGAGCCCTGATCTGGAAGGGTAGGTAGCATGCTTACTAACACGTGTGTATGTAAGCTGTGCACACCCAAACTACGGCCCTGCAAGACCAGTGCTTGAGGGCAGTATAAGCTGAGGGCTAGGGCATCCCAAGTGGGGAGAGCCTTTGAGCTGAGAGACCAGAGGTGACATTTAGGCTAGGTCTTGAAGGGCAGGTTCAGATTCCATTAGACCAATGAGGAGTACAGGGCATTTTGTGTAGACAGTTGGCCCTTGCCATTGGAATGCGCAAATGTTTGGCGTTGGGAAAACAAAGGATGAGTTTGAGGAGGGTTGGCAGTCTGGCACAGTGTCTGTGTAGGGCAGTGGGGCAAGATGAAGCCGCTCCTAGAGGCCCCGGATGCCAGGTTTGGGATTGTGTAGGTCAGTGGTTCTCCCTGGGAACCTTTGGGGGATTTGCACAGGGGAGCGAGTGCAGTGCTGTGGGAGTGAGAGCAGCAGTCAGGCAAGGAGACCCAGAAGGGGTGGCCACTGTAGGAGGAGTGGGGGGCCTGAACAGGCAGTGCTGAGGATCAGCATGGCCCCCTGTCCTGCCTGCCTCCTTGTCTGCTGGAATGTGCAGCCATGGAAGAATACCTCCCTCTATTCTTGATGTTTCCTGACAAAAGCCTGTGGAAGTTTAGAAATGGGGGGCTAGGCCATAGCTTCTGACAGGGTAAGGGGAGCTTGGGGTTCATTTGGGAGGAATGGGGCTGGGAACAGAGCTGCTTTAGTGCTGCGCCTGGCCAGGTGGCAACAGCCACACTCTGTACAATCGGGAGGGGCCCCAGGAAGTGCTGTCAGGCCTGGCCAAGGGGAAAGGCCCACAGGGTCTCACTTGTACCTTTCTGGCTGCGCCAGCAGAGGCGCCTGGTGGCTCTGTCAGTTAAGCACCAGACTCTTGATTTCAGCTTAGGTCATGATCTCACAGTTCGTGGGTTTGACCCTCCCTGTCGGGCTCTGTGCTGTCAGTACAGAGCCTGCTTGGGATTCTCTCTCTCCCTCTCTCTGTGCCCCTCCCTTGCTTGTGTTCTCTCTCTCTTAAAATAAATAAACTTAAAAAATATGTATCCCCTGCAACAAAACAAAACAAGATCAAAGGAAATTTGAATTGTGGGAAGTGAGAGAATCAGGTGGGTCAGGCTCGGACAGGCTGATCACGGGAAAATGGTGGATGGCCGGTACCCTCTGTTGAAAGGTGGTCATTTTTCTGAAGCCAGTTGGAAAGATTACTTCTGTTTTCATCTAGATAGTTGTTTTTTTTTTTTTAGGTTTATTTATTTTGAGAGTGAGCAAGTGAGTAGGGAAGGAGCAGAGAGAGGAGAGAGAATCCCAAGGAGGCTCCACTCTGTCAGCACGAAGCCCAGCGTGAGCTGAAATCAAGAGTCTGACGCTTAGGGGTGCCTGGGTGGCTCATGTGGTTAAGCGATGGACTTCAGCTCAGGTCATGATCTCATGGTTTGTGAGTTCGACCCCGCATCAGGTTCTGTGCTGACAGATCAGAGACTGGAGCCTGCTTCAGATTCTGTGTCTCCCTCTCTCTCTCTGTCCCTTCCCTGCTCTCACTCTGTCTCTCTCTGTCTCAAAAATAAATAAAGATAAAAGAAAAAAAAAAAAAGTCCGACTCTTAACCGACTGAGCCACCTGGACACCCCTAGTTGTTGTTGTTGTTGTTTTTAAGGAATTAGGAAATCATTTATGTTCCAGGCACTGAGCAAATCTTTTTATTTTATTTGTCATTTGAAATTATATACGTAATACATGACTATATTCTCAGTGTAGAAGAACAATTCAGGTGAAGCTCGTCTCCCTTGACCCTGCTTACACTGTTTGGCCTTCCTCCCTGAGGCAGTCAGTGCCAGCAGTTGGGTGCACGGGCAGCTCACCCTATGTCACTCCTCCTTTGTCAGGGAATACAAGGACAATGCTTTGCTGGCTCAGCTAATCCAGGACAAGCTCGACGCCTACAAAGCCGATGACCCAACAATGGGCGAGGTAAGTCTGGACTTGGTCCACGTGGTTCTCTCGCCGATTGACCATAGTGTTTATATGGCATTCCTGGGGACAGCTTGGTTCTGTTGCTCACAGAAAGTGCCTGGTGCCACTGTTCCTGCACATTGGCCTCCAGGGAGATGCTCAGGCCCTTGGGCAGGATGATAGAGATTTTGCTCAGTGTAGCCGCGGTGACCAACCTGTTTCTGTTTGCTGGGACTTTCCAGTGTTAGCACTGAAGGTCCTGTGTCCTGGTAACCCCCTCAGTAGTACAGTACCCAAACCGGAAAATCAACACCCGTACCATCTCCAGCCCTTAATCCCACTTCACTAGTTTGTGCACCTGCTTGCACGTGTTTTCAGTTCTGTGCAATTATATCACATGTGTAGATTCATAGAACCACCACAGCAATCCAGACAGAGCTGTTCCATCACTGCAAATCCCAGGCCCTGGGAACCCCCTTGGTCCCAGGCCGACTGGATGGTGGGTCACCCTATTTGTAGCCGAACCCAGATGGTACTCTCTTTCATAAGCTCACCTTGGAGCCCAGCCACAGTTTTGGACCTGCTTGAAAGGATGCTCATTATGAGATAGACACATTGGATTTTTGCATGGTGTGACTGGTGTTCTCGTCAAGCAGCAAATGGACTAGTCAGTGCTATTTTAGTAGGTTTTATCTCAGAGTTCACTTCCTGGGGCTGCTTTTACAGGGGGGACAGCCACGCCAGTGGGAGAGGCTGGAGTTGTATGGGTGGCTTGTGAAAGTCTTCCCCTGTGTCCATCCTTCCAGGGCCCAGACAAGGCGCGCTCCCAGCTCCTGATCCTGGACCGCGGCTTTGACCCCAGCTCCCCCGTGCTTCATGAATTGACCTTTCAGGCTATGAGTTATGACCTGCTGCCCATTGAAAATGATGTATACAAGTAAGTGTACACACCCAGTGTGGCTTTGCAGACAAACCAAACGCACCTCTTTCATCCTAGGGAATGCGGGTATGTTGATACAGTCTTGCTAATAAGCCTGCAAGCTTTTCTGTGGGTTCCCCAAGTCCACTTAGCATTAGCAGCCAGGAACTGTTGCCCCTTGTGGGGGAACAAGAGCTTTAGAACTTTAGTTCACGGCTCACATCACCTCAGCTCAGAGCCTGCTTGGAGGTGTTCATATGTTGGTGTGCGCGTGTGTGTGTGCGTGCGCATGTGTGTCTATGTCTGTGCATGCAAACGGATGCATATCTTATTCAGGGTTCAGACTTCTTAATTATAGGTCGTGAAATATGATAATGATAAAATATGTCACCAGAAGTTTCTTACTGACCTTTATTTGTAGAAGAGCTGTTTTCTTCATTATAATAAACATTTTTCTTGGTAATAGTCATCCGAAACTTAATTTCTAAAAACGAGTATTTGTTTCTTTGGAAACAGACTGTATTATTTTCATGTATTTTATTTTATCCTTTATTTTGTAACATATTTTAGTCATAAAGGTAGTGGTTTCAAAATGAAGGTTCTAAAAATATGACTGAATCTCAGTTTTCTTCTCCGTTGGTACCTGTAATTCTTGCTTTCCTTTAGATGTTCGTGATTTCACATGTAAAAATATGCTGAGGACCTGTTGCAGGCAGCTGATTTTAAAACTGAAAATTTAGGTACCACACATTTGCAGATGGTATCCCAGTCCTTCCCAGGGAGGAGTAAACGTGATCTTTGCTTTTCTTTTACGAGTCATTCTGAACCCACCTTTAACCTAACTTGAGCACGTACTAGCTAACCCTGAAGATTTTAAAACAGCTTCAAGTCCATTGCCTTTGATTAGAACTCTGGGTCTCTACCTTCCCGAGAAACTGCACCGTGTCAGTGCTGATGCAGCAGACCTGATACAGACCATGCCCCATCGGATGGTCAGGGGGCCTGTGGTAAAATCCTCTGTGTGACATCTGTCTGCTGAGGACTATAAGCTCTTATCTGTTACAAATCAGAGGGAATTGGATACATTTTGTGGGGACATATCCTCTCTAGGTACGAGACTAGCGGCATTGGAGAGGCCCGGGTGAAGGAAGTGCTCCTGGACGAGGATGATGACCTCTGGATAGCGCTGCGCCACAAGCACATCGCGGAGGTGTCCCAGTAAGATCCCTTTGCTCCATCCCTCCCCAGGGACCTCAGCCAGACCTCAGCCACCCCTGCCGCCCCAGCTCCAGGGCTCACTCCATAGTACAGGGTGAAACCTTTCCCCAGATGGCAGTTGCTAATGTGCACGTTCTGGGCACTTGCACAGAGCTGGTCAGTAGATGAATTTGCCAACATGCTAACCAGTGATGATGACTCCCTTCTGATCTCAGCTCGAGTGACACCAACTTAACTGAGTGAGAAAATCCATTCTGTGTTCAGGTTGCTCTTAGGATTTTTAGAAAACATCTGTAGCTCTCAGGAAATGCTTTATCAACACTGAACATTTAAAGCCGATTCCTTCCATTGAAACGCCCAGATTCTACTACATCAATTTGATTTTCTTTTATATAGCCAGTGTGTAATCTTCTTCCCCTTTTGTCTTACCTAAAATTTCTAAGGAAGAGCTGTGCCTTGAATCTGTGCCTTGCTCTCAAAATGTTTCAAAATGTTTGTAACACCTGAATGTTGTTGTTGTTGTTGTTGTTGTTGTTTTTAATGAGAGAGAGAGAGAGAGAGAGAGAGAAAAATATCTCAAGCAGAGTCCACGCTCAGCTCAGAGCCGGACACAATCCCACAACCCTGGGATCGTGACCTGAGCCAAAATCAAGAGTCACATGCTCAACCTACTGAGCCACCCAGGCGCTCCGTAACAACAGACTATTTTATAAGACCTTTATGCTATCGAGAACAATTCTACTTTTGCAAAAAGATATTTTCTGGCTGTTACATTGAGTTGGTGATAGTCTTAGGAAATTCACAAGGAAGCAAGAAAATAAGACAGCCTTGGATAGTTCAGTTCAGAAAAGTAGTCCCCAAACTTTTTGGATCACTCAACCTTAGGAAAATGTTGATTCACATTTCCAATATGTGAGTTTATTTATGAATTTACTAGTTTATTCTAATATATATATATTTTACAGTATATACAAAAACACAAATTTGAAAAAGATGAAGTAAAATAAACATAAATAGAAGTACTAATAATTCCTTCTCTTGAATCATCCTGTACACCTCCTCTGGAGATCCTGGTTGAGAATATTGGTTAGGAGGGGCACCTGGGTTGCTCAGTGGCCTAAGCATCCGACTCTTGCTTTTGGCTCAGGTCATCATCTTATGTTCATGATATTGAGCCCTGCATCAGGTTCCGTGCTCACAGCATGGAGCCTGCTTGGGAGTCTCTGTCTCCCTCTCTCTCTGCCTCTTGCTCTTTCTCTCTCTCTCAAATAAACATTAAAAAAATAGAATATTAGGAAAACAGTGTATCCCTCTCTCTCCTCTTCAAAAATCACTGTAAGTACATACCTTAGTGGCAGGAAAAGTCACCATGTATTCCTAAAGGAAGAATCTTGCACCACTAGTATAGGACTTGGTGTTGCTGTGAAACTTAGTTGCCTCCTTCTGTCTTCCAGGGAAGTCACCCGTTCTCTGAAAGATTTTTCTTCCAGCAAGAGAATGAATACCGGAGAGAAGGTAAATGCATCCTAGAGCTCCAGTGCCCTTTAGGCTAATCCCGGTCTTCCCTCTGGGAGCCGGCAGGCAGGACGCTTCCTTGGCACAGGATTAGTGAGCCAGGGGGTCATTGTCCCTGCTTCATCTAATACTGTTTTGTCTTGTTTTTGTATTCAGGATTGAGATCAGGTGCCCCTGTCTTTTGATGTTTATAGAGATCTTCATTTTGTTACTCTGAGGATTGATATTTGTGGTTTTAGATCATGCGTCAGCTTAAGCCAGAAGAACCCTGAAACCTTTTTTAGCTTGTGGTGGAATTAGAACTCAACTTGCCTGGTCCTTTCCTTATCCTGACTGTTCATCGGAGGTAGCTTAGCCATCTTAGTCAAGGGAAATGCACCTCTGATTGTGTCACTCCCTTGCTTAAAACCATCTGGTGACTTTCTGTTCCCAGCAGAATCTAGCCCCACCCGTAGACACACCTTATAGCATTGGGCTATCAGGCCCCCCAGACTCTCAGGTCTGCCCCCCACTCTCTGGCACCCACGGCCTTGCTCCATCCATGCCTGAGTTCCTTGCCTGGGGCTTGCCTTGTCAAGTCCTGGTACTTTGGCTCAGGCATCGTTTTCTCAGGGAAATCCTCCCTGCTCCTCCCTGGACTAATGAGGTACCCCTCCACTGTGCACCCACACTCCTGATTCCCTCGAAGAACACTAATCCTCTCAGTCGGAATGACTCCTCTGCTAGATGGTAGCTCCACAAAGACAAGAATTTCTTGTTTGTTTGTTTGTTTGTTTTTGTTTTTTGTCCTTATATCTCCAGCACCTAACCTGGCATGTGGTAGTAATTCAACAAATTTTTGTTGGATAGAGAGGGATTAGGTGAGTCACATGGTTACCAAGTAAACAGACCCCTGTGACCTGTCAGGATGCACATCCCGGCCCTTTCCCACCTTGTTCCTTCTTTCTACCTGTCTACACAACTGCAGCCCTTCTGCTGGGATGAAATGTGAACTCAGTTTCAAGACTGCTTGAGCTGAGTATGCAGAAGAACAGTGTGGAGAAGAAAAATTGCTCTTCCCTGGCAAGAATTATGCTCTCAGTAACTTTCCAGTCCAATAAATAAAACATAATTGCTACACTTCGGAGTTCAGTTCCCTACCTAGAAGATAGTCATGGTATTTGAATCAGTAATTTTTTGAGCCAGAGGCCTGGAAGTCTAAACCCACAGTGATCTCAGGTTTAACAGATTGATTTTGAGAGTTTCTGAGCGTGCACTTGGGAAGTCTGGTGCTGGCTGCTGTCCTGCCCTGGACCTGCCACCCTTGCACAGCCTCTTAGGTCAGGGCCATTAGAGTGAGACCATATGTTTTCCTTTCCCTTATAGACCACCATGCGGGACCTGTCCCAGATGCTAAAGAAAATGCCCCAGTACCAGAAAGAGCTCAGCAAGGTATGACAATCCCAAATGATTGATTTGAATCTTGACTATAATCAACTTCAGTAAGACCTCTCAGAGCCCCACTGCACTGACTGATCCACTGAAATCACAGGTTGTTTTTGTTTTGGTTTTTTTTTCAACATTTATTTATTTTTGGGACAGAGAGAGACAGAGCATGAACGGGGGAGGGGCAGAGAGAGAGGGAGACACAGAATTGGAAACAGGCTCCAGGCTCTGAGCCATCAGGCCAGAGCCCGACGCGGGGCTCGAACTTGCGGACCGTGAGATCGTGACCTGGCTGAAGTCGGACGCTTAACCGACTGCGCCACCCAGGCGCCCCGAAATCACAGGTTTTTAATCAACTTCTGGTTTTATTAGGAAAGGCTGAAAGACCGGACCGACAACTTATTTCCTATGACTTTCTTTTCTCTTCTTCGTCTGTTTTCTCTCTTTATCCTTCAATTCCTCACCTCACGAGCCTCTCCCCTGGGCTGCTTAAGTCTTCTTACGGCGTGGCAGCTGGACTCCATGAGTGTGGGTGACCGAGGGAGAGAGCCAGGAGGAAGTCACTGTGCCTTTTCTGTCCTGACCTGGGGTGTCCTACATCATGTCCTCCACACTCTCCTTTAGAAGCGAGTCACTGAATCCAGCCCACGCTCAAGGAGAGGGGAATTAAGCTCCACCTCCTAGAAGGAGGGGTAACAAAGGATTTGTGGACACATTGTGGAACCATTATGCCACCCTACCCCCATACAGGATTCCTTCATCTGCTTGACTCCTTTGGAATGCGGTTTGCCCCTACCTCTCCTGACACAGAACTTTCTGGCGTGTTCTGCCATGTTTGTGTTCTGCTTCAATGCACGTTTTACCTCCTTTACGAGGCTGGAGACTCCCTGGTGCATTGCACAGTGCTTATACATAGTAGGTGCTCAGTTTATGCTTCATGCATCCGTGAGTGATTTCTGGATCATAAACTCTGCTTTTTCCTAGTATTCAACCCACCTGCACCTGGCCGAGGACTGCATGAAGCATTACCAAGGCACCGTGGATAAACTCTGCCGAGTGGAGCAGGTAGGACCTTTTCCTTCTCTTTCTGCCATCCCCGTTGACCCAGCTGAATTTTAACATGTGACTTTGAACATCCTGCAGAATCATAGGATAGAGAGATGGGGAAGTCTACTAGATCATGTTGTCTCAACTCTGGAGCCAATGCACTTCCGCTCTCAATGGTAGGGATTAGACTGGTCTGGAATGCTGTGCTGTTTGGATTTTGCATGTCTGACTCTCCACAGGCTCCCTGGAGTGTCTGAAGAGAGATGTCTGGAACTCTGAGCCCTACACTGACAGGGCTGGCTGAGGTTTATATTCCGAGTGTATTTTCCTCCTGTGGTGGCCACACCGGTTTTGGAAACCTAGATGAGAGAAACTAGGGTAGTAGCATGTCAGAAACTCACCACAGCCTCCCTGATCATAAGTAGGACAGAAAGTCAGCAGTTTGCGGTTTGAACTCTGTCTCTGTCACTGGTTTGTTTGATGTGCCTGTTTCTGCTTTGCTTTCCTCATCTGCAAAGGGAAATAACAATGCTGCCATAGTTTCCAGGAGTGTTGTGTGGAGTCACTAATCCTGGCCCTCCGTTCTCCAAGCGAGAACTTCACTCAGCTAGGGTCTGCTTCCATGGGAAGGGAGGGCATTTGAATGTGAAGCCTCAGCAGGAACGAACAACTCAAGTCCTTGGTGTGAAGCTAAGATCTACACCGTCCGGTGTGATGTGACAAGCCAGCTTAGGTTTGTCAGACCTGTCCTGATTTCTTGGCTCTCTTCTAAGGGGCAGTGGCCCCCTAAAAACCCATCAGTCTCACAGCTGATCTTGACAGGTGCAAGGTCCTCTCTAAAAGAACTTGACTGTCCAGAAAACAGGTTATCCCTACATCAGTAAAAGTGAAGTTGGGATGAATCCTTGGAAGAGTACATTTTTTTCAGAATTGCTCCGTGGTATTTGTTGAACCGGTTATGTTTAATTTGACCTTTAGAGAGTATTAGATTTGGGTCCGGCTAAACAAACGGCTGTTGAGGCTGGCAGTGGCTCTGAGAGGTGAGAAGGCCTGGGGGCACCCACCTTCCTTGACCCAGACAGACCTGGGTAACCTCAAGGTCCTGATGGTTATGGACTCGTGGGATCTTAGAGAAAAAGGGAACCTTCAGGCGAGCCCTGTGTGGGTTCCCAAGGGAGTTGCAGCCTTTGGTCTCTGAGAACAGAGTAGAATGGTTGTTGATTTGCTGAGGCTGATGATGTGCCTTCTCCAGCCTGTCGACAGCCGGTCTGACTCTTGCCTGAGTTGGGAAGCGGGGCTGTCATTGTGCTCTCTCTCCTCTTCCTTCTTTGGCCAGCCCTTCTCTCCTCCTTCATCTGCCTGGGTTGGGTTTGCAGGTTCTAGAGCCCTTTTTTTCCTACTCATCTTAAAAGTGGTTGGAGGGGCGCTTGGGTGGCTCAGTTGGTTGGGCATCGACTTCAGCTCAGGTCATGATCTTACGGCTCGTGCGTTTGGGCCCTGCATTGAACTCTGCTGACAGCTCAGAGCCTGGAGCCTGCTTTGGATTCTGTGGCTCCCTCTCTCTCTGCCCGTCTCTCTCAGAGCCATTCACCCTCTGTCTCTCCTTGAAAAATAAACATTAAAAAAAAAAAGTGGGTTGGAAAATTAAAAACAGGTTAAAAAATGCAGAGTAGTTAAAACTCAAAAGGTGTGTCCTTCAGAGCCAAGGGGAAGCACAATGGGGAGAGTCTAGCTAGGCAGGCGCACCTTAAGATGCCAAAGCTCTTCATGTGCGGGACGTGCCACTGACTCGGCCCCGATCCCTCAGCAGAGCTCTGTACCTCTAGAGGCCCCACCGGAACGGAGGCTTGACCTGAGGACGTGGCCCAGGTGCACGGACACTCACCCAAAGGGAGCAGCCTACTTTCAGACAAGATGGCAAAAAAATCAACGATGGTTTCTGTTTTTTGCAAATTGGACCCCGGGGCTGTCATCAGTTCTCACTGGCGCCACGGAACGTAGCGCTAGTGACGCCAGTGCAGATTATGGTGCATTGTGGGAGCAGAAAGGACCTTCCCCAGTGAAGCGACCAATCCTATTTATGGTCTACAATCGTCTAATTGTTACCATCCGTCCAGACTGTCACTGGGAGTGGGGCCAATATGGTGTGTTTTCTGCAGGACCTGGCCATGGGCACGGATGCCGAAGGGGAGAAGATCAAGGACCCTATGAGAGCCATCGTCCCCATTCTGCTGGATGCAAATGTCAGCACTTATGACAAAATCCGCATCATCCTTCTCTACATCTTTTTGAAGAACGGTAGGAACGACGGGCTGGAGAAGAAGGGATAGGTGCTCTCTTGGGCAAGTGAAGTGAGGGAGAAAGAGAAGACAAAGTAGGAAAGTTTAGGAAACACGGAAAGGCGTATTATTTAGTAAGGAAATCCCAGGGGCTCTTGACATTGGGGAAATGAAGGTAAATCAGTTGGAACTAGAATTGAATTCAAGAGTTAAGAAAGGTGAGGTGTCTATGGAAGAGGACGGGTGGGGGCAGGGAGAGCCCACTGACAGCAAAGCCAGTTTGTGAGGGCTTGTCCGCCAGGTGCTTTAACTTGCATCACGTTAGTACTCTCCACCTTTAAATAACTGATTTTTACCCACATCACAGTTGGGTTACCGTCCACTGTGCAGATGGACACGGAGACTCTTGACTTTGATGTGGGCAGGGGTGGGCAGAAATGGCTGGGAAGCAGAAGACGGATGGAAATACAGACCATGATGGGGCAGTTGCTGAAGGTCACAGCCTGGGACAGAGTGGCTTGAGTGGAATGGAAATCCTGATTTTGTCTTCATCTTCCAGTAAAGTTGATGCGGTGAAGACTCATTTCTACTAATCCTGAGGAGGAGAAGGGGCACCATCCCCCCTCAAGCGATTGGCTCTGCTTCTGAGTGTGTGATGTGCAGTGGCTGGGTGTGGTGACAGGGGTTTTGTTCTCTCAGGCATCACTGAGGAGAACCTGAATAAACTGATCCAGCACGCCCAGATCCCCCCAGAGGACAGCGAGATCATCACCAACATGGCACACCTGGGGGTGCCCATCGTCACTGACGTAAGGGGCCAGTCTTGCATGTGGGGAGGGAGAGACAGAAGGGAAGCTGGCATGTCTTATCTGTTCTCCCCTGAATTACTTAAGGTGGCTTAAGATACATACACTAAACGTTGAGGAAGAGAAAACATAAAATCAGAGGAATAAAGGGATAGATGTAGTAAAATAGAAGTGAAACTCCCAGAACCAAGACGTGCACATCCAGGAGTTGCACAGAGTCATTAAATCTGCGTTGAGCCAGCCCCAGCCCACGCCAGCTTCGTCCCCCATGTCTTGAGCTCAGTCTGGCCGTGTCTTTGCATACCTGGGTCCAGCATCTTCTGTGAGAGCGGGAGCACAGCGCTTAGCATCAAGCGGGTTTGCCACTTGGTTTGTCACTGAGCCAGGCCAGGGCAGGGAAGCCTGACCATGCAGTGCGCTCCAGAAGAGGCTGGGGGCCAGAGGACTCCAGAACTTGAGGAAGAGGCCCGAGCACTCTTTGGAGCTCTCTGCTGGGAACCTTCCCGTGCACCTGCTTCCTGTGAGGAGTCTCTCACTCAGCAGTGCTGTAAAGCTAGAGTTGCAAATGTGCTTCTTTTGGAATCTCAGAGTCGGAAACTTTGTCCCAGAGCCCAGACCTGAGACCTGTAACGGGTGGTTTGGTGTTTTTTGACCCTTGTTCAGGAGGGACCCAAATGGGAATGGATGGCTTACCGATGCACCCCAGGCTGTTGAAGCAGAAACAAAGACCAAGTCTTACACAAAGCTGCCTTTTCTCCTATAATCAAAAACAAAACTTTTTTTTTAACTACCAGGATTTTTTTTTTTTTAATGGAGCTTCTGTGTTTGACCCGCATTTGCCATTTTCCGTGGCTTTAAAGAACCGAGTTTGCTCCAAGGGGCACATGCTGGACTTTTCCAGGAAAACCTCTCCCACTTAGCCTCTGCTAGCGCTGACTCTCTGAAGGGAGTGCTCTGGAGCGATTTCCAGAGGCCAGCAAGGTCGCCGGGGCCCAGGTGACCCGTGACTCTGTCTAATTTTGCGTGTGTTTGTATTCAGTCCACCCTGCGCCGCAGGAGCAAGCCAGAGCGGAAGGAGCGCATCAGTGAGCAGACCTACCAGCTCTCACGGTGGACTCCGATCATTAAAGACATCATGGAGGTCAGCGAGGGAGGGGTGTGAGGATGTGTGTGGGACAGCCTGGGCCCAGAACTCTTCACTTACAGGCCCAGAGGCCTCCAGCTTCACCTGATGTGGGGTGATGGTGACAGCCTGGGGTTATCTGTCCCTGAGGATCTGTACCCAGTCTCGGGGCTCATTTAGGCCCCATAGCCTTGTCCTGAGGGTTTAGGAAGAACAGCCCCCAGAGGCCGCTAGATGCAGATCCCCATGATTCATATGACTTAGCCCCATAGGAGAGACCCCTCAGTGGTGCCGTATCCCAAGAACCAAACACATCCCAGCATCTGCAGGTCACATGAGTCACAAACACCACACTAAGGGTGCGGGTATGGAGGGGCTTTCAGGATTCACCCGAGCCAGCCCCTCCCTAAGCCTCCCTGTCAGTCAGGGACCCCGCCCTGCCAGGCATGTTTCTGCCTCTGCTCTTCTGTTCACATCCATCCCTTGCCTGCAGTGCTGTCCCCTTCCACTTCTGAGCCCTGCCTTCCTTCAAAGTCCCCGTCAGGTCTCACCGTTTGCATACACCGCCCCCGTCTGACCGCCCAGCACCACGGAGCCGCCCTGGACTCCTGTAGCATGTATCGGAGATGCCCTTTACGTATATGTATCTGCTCAGTGTTTGGAGTCAGCTCTTTATACCTTGGCCTGTGCCCTCAGCTGATGTGTCCTCTGGGCATAGCAGGTGTTTTGTATTTGTGAATGTGAGGTGTCCCTCTGCTCCTCGCCTATAGCATGAAGAAACCCTGCTTAGAATCCTGCCCCACTGGATCTCCAGGGTGGGTCTTAGAGGCACCCTGTCCAGCTCCTGCTGTCCACAGGCGGACAAGACTGGGGTCCGGACAACGAAGGGGCTTTCCCAGAATTCCTTTGTCAATCCACGCAGTCCAGGTGTTCTGCTGAATTATGAGTTAAAATAAGTGTATTTTAAATATATATAGTGAGTCAGCTTCCTATTTTTAAAACCCACAAACCAAAGGATGGGTGAACATGAGACATCTAGAAACCAGTTGGATTTCTTTGTAATGTAATTAAAGCCCACCCCTCTGTCTCATTCGCTCCTTTGTTCTCTGCTCCCTTTTCCTACCCGCCCCGCAGTCCCTTGGAGAGACATGTGCGTAGGCTTCACATGGTAGCTGCTAAGAGGAGTGGAGATTTCTAGGCAGCGGGAGGTGCCTAGCTGGCATCCACCCACTAGATGATTAGACCCTTGGAAAACTGAGGATGTAAAGTCTTGTCTTGCATGAGAGACAATGCCTGTGCCGAGTTTCTACAAAACTGGTGGCAAGTGTCAGGGATTTATTGGAATGCAACATTTATAACCTCACACAGATGTAAAAGAAAAGAAAAAAATTGGAAGGGAAGCAAGAAAAATTAATGCACTTTTTTGGTCTTATTTGTTTATTTTGAGAGAAAGAGTGAGCGCTCGCAGGGAAGAGAGAGCAGGAATCCTAAGCAGGCTCCACACTCAGCACAGAGCCCGACGTGGGGCTTGAGCTCACGGCCATGAGATCATGACCTGAGCCGAAATCAAGAGTCGGAAACTTAACCGACTGAGCCACCCAGGCGCCTCGTGTTTTGTTATTTATTTTTTATTTGGGGGAAAGCACAGGTGGGCTAGGGGCAGAGAGAAGGGGACAGAAGATCTGAAGCAGGCTCTGCGCTGACAGGCTGACAGCAGTAAGCCTGATGTGGGGCACGAATTCGTGAACTACAAGATCATGACCTGGGCTGAAATTGGTCCTCAACCACCCAGGTGCCCCTTGTTATTTTTAAGGCTTATTTACTGGGGCTGCTGGTGTCTCAGTCAGTTAAGCACCCAACTCTTGGTTTCAGCTCAGGTCGTGGTCTCACTGTTTGTGAGCTTGAGCCCCGTGTCAGGCTCCGTGCTGGCAGTGCGGAGCCTCCTTAGGATTCTCTTTCTCCCTCTCTCTGCCCCTCCCCTGCTCATGCGTGCTCTCTCTCTCTCTCTCTCTCAAATTAAGATTAAAAAAAAAAATTTTTAATAGAGTTTATTTAGTAATTTCTATACCCAACATGTGACTCGAACTCACAACCCTAAAATTAAAAGTCACATGCTCTTCTGATTGAGCCAGCCAGGCGCCCCATTGCAGTTTTTGTTTGTTTGTTTGTTTTTTAACTGCAAGGTCGTTAAGGTCTTCTTCATGAGCAGACCTACGGACTTTTCTCCATGTCCATGCTGAGTGCCGTTTTAGGCCCCTGCAGCAGGCAGCAGGGCAAAGGAGCTCTGGTTGTTGCAGATTCGGCCATGTCGCTTTGCCAAGTGACTTGTTCCTTGAATCATCTTGCCTTGGTTCTGTCAGCCCTTCCCAAACAAAAGGCAAGCCTAGTATCTGTCTCTTTTCTTTCCAGGACACTATTGAAGACAAACTCGATACCAAGCACTACCCGTATATCTCCACCCGCTCCTCTGCCTCCTTTAGCACCACCGCGGTCAGGTGAGTGGGAGTCCAGAGCAAGCAGGTGGGAGAAGGGGGACCGTCGCTGGGTGGTTGTCGGCCGCACGGTGGTCCTGGTGTGACACAGCATCCACAAGAACCCTCCCCCGGCTTCTCGCCGCAGCCAGAGTGCAGGCCTGGTGCTTGGAGCAGCCCATGAGGCCCTCCACTCTCCGGCTTCCCACTCCTCTCTGACTCATCCCTTACTCCTCCCGTTTTTCTCTCCACTTCTGCCACGCTAGCCTCCTCCTCTGCCCGTGTCAGGCATACTTCTGCCTCAGGACCTTTGCACTTGGCTTTACCCTCTGCCTCAAATGATCTGTCCCCGTACATTTTCAGGACTTGCCTCTTATCTCCTTGTTTTAACAAGGAGATCTACCTTGTTATCTACCCTGTTTTAACATCGCACTACACCAGTGTTCCTAGCAGCATTACTCATAATAGCTCAAAAGTGGAAACAACCTAAATGTCCATCAGCTGATGAATGGATAAACAGAACATGGCATACTCATACAATGGAATATTATCCAACCAAAGGAATGAAATACTGACACGTGTTCCACGGATGAAGCTTGGAAACATTGCACTAAGTGCAAGAAGCCAGTCACAAAAGTCCACATGTTGTGTGATTTCATTTGTTTGAAATGTCCAGAATGGGCAAATCTGTAGAGATAGGAAGTAGATTAGTGGTTTCCAGGGACTGGGGATGGGGGTGGGGTGGGGGAATGGGAAGGGACTGCTAAAGGGTATAGGGCTTCTTTTTGGGGTGATGAAATAGTCTAAAATTGATTGTGGTGATGGTTTGCAATTCTGTGACTATACTAATAAGCATTGAATTGTACGCCTTTTTTTTTTTTAAGTTTATTTATTTGGGGCGCCTGGGTGGCTCAGTCGGTTGAGTGTCCGACTTTGGCTCGGGTCATGATCTTACGATTCGTGAGTTCAAGCCCCCCACATGAGGCTCACTGCTGTCAGTGAAGAGCCAACTTCGGATCCTCTGTTCCCCTCTCTCTCTCTCTGTCCCTCCCCCACTTGTGCCCTTTCAAAAATAAATAAATATTTTTTTTTAAGTTTATTTAATTATTTTGAGAGAGAGAGAGAGAGAGAGAGAGAGAATCCCAAGCAGGCTCACGTACCTGGTGACACTCCATACTTCTGTCCCTGGTTCTTCAACACTGTGGGTTTTCTTAGTTGCCTGTGGTGCTTTCCAGGGTCTGTTTTCAAAAGCTTTTCCTCTTGTTCCCCTCTTTGCCACGCATCTGGAAACCTTCCTGTTGTGCCCTGCGATGGCATCGGAAGGCATTTTGCCCCTAGACTCTCGTTGGCCTCCCTCATCGGTGTGGTCCAGGCTGTTCCCTGGCCCACAGTGGCATCAGTTACTTTTCCTGAGGTGGCAACCTCAGAGCCAGGTGCTACTCGGTTTTTGTCTGTCAGCAAGAGCTTGACGTGACTCCTGAGAACATTTCAAGGCTGAATGAACATTTGAGCTTGGAACAGGAGCGCCACTAGCTCCAAAGAGGGCATCCCGGGGCACCGGAGTAGCTGGCAGTTCCCAGGATGAACCCTCCACATGTACCTCTCTATCCCCTGCTCCTGCTGTGCCCACCCATCTTTGTCCCCCACGCCCGGCCTGCTGGGCTCACTTTTAGACCTTCCCTTGGGCCCAGGCCAGAGGTCTGTGGCACCTGTGGCATTATGCATCCCCTCTGATGCCAGTAGAGGCCAAATGTTTATTGCCAACATTGGAGCAAAATACGAAATCCCCAGTGTTGCCCTGGCCAGGCCGGTGACGATGGCACACTGTCAGATGACTCTCTGTGTTGGCCCATGTGCGCCCCTGGCACCTTCAGGATTTTGGAAAGTGACTTTAATGCTGTCATAGTCAGGGAGAAGGGCAGAGATTTCGCTAGAGACTTGGCCTCCTTGTTTTGCTTTGATTTTTGTTTTCTTTTCCCCATTTTCTTAACCTGGAAGCAACCCATTTCTCATTGTTCCTGAGGACAAGGTGAAGACCTACTAACAGAAGCCCAGGGGCAGAGGAGACACCTTTGGGAACTGTCCCACCACCGAAATGCCTGTCTTTCAGGGGACAGCTCAGTGTCACGTCTTCTGGGAAGACTTTTCCAATGATGCCCAGATGACGCTAGAAGGCGTGCATGTCCCTGTGGCACTGAGCCCCTCCATCGCAGCATGATCCTGACCTTCCTTCTCCCCGCCCACCCTAGTTAAACCGCGAGCTCTCGGTGGGCATGGCTGAATCTCGCCGAGGTTTGGCACCTTGGTGCTGGGGGAGGCCCTGATCAGGTGAGGTGCTCGCTGCGTGAATCAGGGTGTACCAGCCTGAAGACGGGCCTTGACTCCATCGTCACCGCTCACTGCCAGCAGAGTGTCCCAGACAAGCCTAGAAACCTGTACGCTGGAGGGCGGAAGCTGACGACCATCACGAGGGGCAAAGCTGTGGAAGGTGACACGTCACACTTGAAAGCTGACTTGAGCCTGCCTGTCACCTACATGCTTCCAAGAGAGTGATGAGGTCACAGCATGGGTAGCCCAAGCACTTGATAATTTGCACAGCAGTTCAGTTCAACCAACACTTACTACTACTCTGTTTTGGTCACTGGTGTACAGAGTGAATGTGTAAACAAGTCATTGAGGTATGAAGTGATAAGTCCTCTGAGTGCAGATAAACATAATTAATCTCTCGCTCTCTCTCTCTCTCTCTCTCTCTCCCCCCTTCCTCCCCCCCCCCCCCCCCCCCCAGCGCCCGCTATGGGCACTGGCATAAGAATAAGGCCCCAGGGGAGTACCGCAGTGGTCCCCGCCTCATTATTTTCATCCTTGGGGGCGTGAGCCTGAACGAGATGCGTTGTGCTTATGAGGTGACCCAAGCCAATGGAAAGTGGGAAGTGCTAATAGGTGAGTGGGGGCATGTGTTCTAGAGGGAAGGGGCTGCTTCATCGCACTTCGATCCATTCCATGCTTTGGTGTTTCATTCTGTCTTCACTTCTCCATTGCCCCTGCAAATATAGTCTCTAGACACATTCGGGGACGGCAGTAAAGGGGCGAAGGGTTCTTTCCTCGTGTCTGCACTGTGTCTCATGGTGAGAGGCAGCTGCAAGCGGTGGGAAGTGCCTGATCACAGACACCGACAGACCCAGGCTCCCATTCTTGCTCGGCCACTGCCAAGTGGGTTACCTTGAGCAAGCACCCCACCTCTCCATGCTGCGATTTCCTTACCCAGCCAAATGGGGTTGTGAATACCCGCTTACAGCTTTGTACTAGGCCCGAGGTGGGACCTGTCTCTTTGCTGGCATTGGGCCTCCTGTTCAGAAGACGCTCAGTGAATGGAAGGTAAATTATCGCCCCCTCCTTTACCTGTCAGTTGCAGATAGACAGACACAGTGTGTGGGCAGATACCGCCCGAAACACACGGGCCTGACTCCTGGACTCTGCTGAGGGTTCCCCATCAATTCCGGTTCCTACGACTCCTAGGTCTGCTATGTACCCTTTCTGGTATTTCCTGCTGGTTTTCCAGAAGAAAGGAAGCAACTCATTAGACCTGACTTAATGCAGCAGAAGATTTTATACCTTTTTCCTGCCTGTAGGAGCTTCCAGTTTCTAGGGCTGGAAGGGGAAGAGTGAGCTGAGGAAAATCACGCTTTCTCCAGACGCCTTCCTTTTGCCCCGTCTTGCCCTTAACAAAATGGATTTGCACCTGCCTGGGGCTGCCTCTTGACATTGACTAACCCAAGGCTATGAGCACGTACTGCCCTGGCCTTTCCCCTGATCTCTAGAAGATGTGTCAGTTTTACACCCCTACTTCGGGGTGACCAAATTCCAGTGTGCCCGGCGCTCTCAGAGTGAGCAGGTCCTGCAGACCAATCCACGTGGCCTTTCCTGGTTGTGTCAAGATGGACCTGTTACTGTCAACCCCCTTTCTAGATACCACACCATTCACTGGAGAGATTGGATATCCTCTCCCTCCCCTCCCCACTCCCTGGAGCTTCCCCGGCGGGTCACCCTTTCTCCCCGTATCGTTTTTTTCCTTTTTGTTACATAGACGCTGGGATAAAGCTCTCTCTGTCCCCTGCTCGTGTGTATGTTGCATGCACGTGTCGGAGAACTCTCAGCTCAAACACAGCTTTGCGGGGCCGAAGCTGTCACGGCCAGGCTTTGGTGTAAATTTCCCTCTTCAGCTTTGGTCCTGACTTGCAGTTCCCTATTGGGGGGTGGAACCCTGGGGAGATAACGGTGCCCGTGCAGATCCACGGAGGGGCCTTGCGCAGACAGCTGACGTCCGCAGTGTGGCCTCACCCGCTTGGTGCATGCCGGCTGTCCTTGCGGCCTGTGTGCGTGTGCACGTGCGCGTGCTCGCGTCTTGCTTTCTCATACCTCATTGGCTGCATAAAACGTAGGCCTAACTTGGCATGTTCCTGTAACGTACCTTTGTTCAAGCAGTCAGCTGGCCTCTGTTCTCCCGCAGGTTCTACTCACATTCTTACTCCCACCAAATTTCTCATGGACCTGAGACACCCCGACTTCAGGGAGGCCTCTAGGGTATCTTTTGAGGATCAGGCTCCAACAATGGAGTGAGAGCCAAAGAAACAAAGTAAAAGCAGCTTATTACAGAAAAGAAACTCTTCCACTCTGAAGGGTTTTCTTTGATTATTCCGTCACTCTTTTTCTTTATTTTTCCCTTTTCAGTTTATTTATTTGATTTCCTTTCAACAAGAAAATGCTTGCAGTTCTTAACACCGATTGAAAATGTGTCCGATGCTGCCTTCACAGACCCTGCCGCGAGAGCCTCTGGGCCCCGGCCTGCCAGCTCACTCGTGCCCTGGGTCACCTGCTGCTCAGTCAGGCAGTGCAGCCCCCTGGGTTGTAAACCAAAAATGATCATGACTGCTATGACCAGTCCTTCAGAGGGACTGGAAGCCGAAGGATGCCGGAGGCACGGCACGCAGGCCTACCGGCCCGGGGTGTATCTGTGGGCACCAGGCAGGGAACGCGTAGCGTCCCGCTTGTGACATGGTGTGGGAAGTTGTGAGTGAGGCCAGTAGGCGTTCAAGGGACTGTCCTGTCCGAGAAGGCAGAACTCCAGTGGAGAGATCCATGGGCACCTGATCGTGGGGAAGGCTCATTGGAGTGCGTCAGGATAGACTCCACGTCAGTGGTAGTTAGACACGTAAATTCCTTTTTTCCGGCGCAGGCACTCGTCCCAGGGACTGTTGCTAAGGGGTGACAGGGTCACGAGCCACCACGTACTTGATGAACTCCAGCCACCAGTGGAAATCTCGTGTCTCGTGTTCATCTGGGGCAGATGGCCCTTCGTAGTCATTTACTCTCTCAGTAGTTGCTTTTGTTTTCATTCTCCTGTGGGTTTTTTTCCAGGGTTGAGTTATCACACCCCTCTCTCTCACTGAAGTCTGTTAGTGAGATCTGAGAACCTTTGGGTAAAAATCTGTTCATAACGCGGTGTGCTGTTCGAAAGAGCGTCTTCTGTCTCCCACCACGCTTGTGCCTTTACCTGTTACCCAGGAACCGGCATCTGTCTGGTGGATTATCCAGACTTTATTCTCATCCTCATCCCTTCCCTTCTCTTGCGTCCCTCATATGTCCCGGGAACCTCCTGTGAAGTGTTAAGTGGCAGACGCATACTGAAGAACTCCATTGTAGCATTAGTTATTCTGTAGTTTCCTCACACAGCCTGTGAGGAGGCCACACTCTGTGCACCTGCCCTCATGTACTTCACCGACGACGTCCCTGCCCCTCTCCCGCCCAGACTGACATGTGGCCTGGTGAGTCAGAGAGCATGAGTCACCTGGAGCAGTCGGGAGGCCTAGACTCTTGCCCCGGTCCTGCCAGGAGCACATGTGGGACTGCAGGAGGTCCTTCTCCCGCCCCCCAACCAGGGCACAGAATGCAGAATGCGGGGGGGCTGGGTCCTGGATCGCAGGGCCCCAGGTCCTGGGCTCTGACTACCTAATTCAGCAACTCGGATCGGGTGCCTCAGCGCTTGCGGTCCTGCCCTCGTGCACCTGTGCTCTCTGGTACACCTCAGGGGACTGGGCTGTCAGAGCCATGAGCGGGGGCGGGAGGGGGGGGCGGGGCACCAGAAGCATGCTTGTTTGTATAAAGAGAACGTGCTCCATCCAAAACGGGACTCCCTCTAAAGGTCGGGACAGGCAACTGTGCGCTTTGTCTCCTCTCCTTCCTGTGGCCAAGAGACGGCTCCTCCGGGGCACTGGTGAGGGGAGAAGCAGCACGTGGGTCACCTGCACGGTGCGGAGCGGGCTGGCTGTGGCCCTGCGCTGCCTCCCTCTAGACAGTGCCGCCAATGGGCGGTGGATAAAAGCAATTGTGAAGAACACAGCCATTGTTTAGAAGCACCTTGGTTGCTTGGTAATCAGAGACATCTGGTTCTGTGTGCAGATGGCAGGGAGGTGACCGGCATTTGCTGCAGGATGTATTTTCAGACTTACGGAAGGAAAGATGTTCAGTCCAGGCTTTGGTGGTGGCAGACCACTTGCAGGGTCTGAAAGACCTGCAAACCCAGAGCCCGGGGGCTCCAGCTAGGATTCACTCTGCGATCCCCTGCCCCAGAAGCAGCCTGTCCTTTGCAGGCTGGTGTTCTTTGTTTTGTGCTCAGTCAGCATAGGTTCTCGGCTGCCATCTGAGCAAAGAACACAAATACTCGAGTTGTGTACTCGTGGCTTCTGAAATGCTTTTTGGGGCAGTGTCGTGTTTTAGAGAGTTCCTTTAGGAAAAAGCAAGGCACGGAGCCCTAATCCCAGGGAGGTCAGAAGACAGATGAAAATCTGACTTGCCTCCTTCTGTTGTGATTGTCCGGTGACCAGAGACTAGGACAGTGTGGGCCGGGAGCAGGACGGGTTGTCTCCGCCCAGAGTCGATGTCTGCAGTTGTCTGCAGCAACTTAGCTTCTAGGAGATGAGTTTTCCTGCTCGGCAGTGAACGAGAGCATCCCTTGCCGGCTCCCCGCGTGGGTGCCAGCGCCCACTGATCCTCCGGCCCCTCTCTCCCCCAGGTGCCGGGTGAAGGGGGCCGGCTGGGCAGCCGGAGTGCACAGGTGTCCCCAAGCCTCACTTCCATTGCATTAATCAGTCGCCTCCATGTTGTCCAGAAGTGAAGTCTTTGCTTTAGGTTCTCACCCCAAGCTCTGGGGGAGGGTTGTGTTAAAAGTACCAGCCTTGAGGGAATGTCCAAGAGGCTGTTGGAAGCCGGTGGAAGAGCCATACACAGCACTTGCACTTCAGAAAAAGGGTTTGTTTTTTTTTATATTGAATATTTCACTTTATTCCCAGTTGGAGTCAGACAAGTCTCATGTTTCAGTGGGACTCAGATTTGAATCTGTACCCAGAACCAACCCATTGCCCAGCTGCTATTTGAGCACTCACTTGCATGTCCCCTCCTGGGGCCAGGTGTCCAGAAGCGAGACCGACGGCATGACATCTGGGCCCGGCCGTGCCACCAAAGGGCTGCGAACGTGCCCCCTGCCGCTCTGGGCTTCATTCTCCCACCTTCAGGACGTGGGCTGGCCAGGAGCGTGTTTCCAAAACCTGGCAGATCAGCAGACTCTCCTGGGTTGCTCTTGAATGTACACCATCCCTGGTGCCCCCCCCCCCCCCCCCCCCGGGTCTTCGGAGTCCGTAGGTCTGTGTCGGCCAAACCCAGGGATGCCTAGACAGCTGACCTGATTTTCAGATTCTGTCAGAGAGGAAGGATTTTGTCCAGGCAGAGCTCTGGCCCACAGCTTTGACAGCCCTTTGGGTGACTTTGTTTTTGGAGACACCCACTCACATTTCTCAGTCTTGCAGTCATGTAGCATAAGAGGGATGGACCCTCCGTTGCAGTTCTGGAGGACCGACATGGGCCCCCTGTGGGTTCTAAATGTGGGTTTGCGATATGTGTATCCCAAACGCACCCAGCTCCGTTCGCGGTATTTGTGGTGGTGAAAACCTTGACCAGGACATTAAAACAGTACAGATGACTCAGTGGCAAGAATTGGCTCTCGGGGGATTCGGATCAACAACAGCTGGTCTGAATCCTTTAAAGACACCCAGTGAGTTAGGGTCCAGGAGTTCCTGAGCCTGTCGCAAAGATACTTGGCCCTGGAAGTTTTCTTCTTTCAGTCAGACTGGGACCACCAGATGGTCAGCCGTCAGGTGATAGAAATTCTAGAGCATGGATTCCTTGATCTCTTTCTGGCCTCCCTCAGGCCGTGGATTTGCCTGCAAGCAGGGGTCAGGAGCAGCTTGGGGTGGGTATCTGCTCAGAGGCTCCCTTTTGATTTTTCCTCTCAGTCGAGTCTACTGTCTCATTTCCTGGAACTCAGCTAGATGGCTGCGGGAGGGCATTAGGGACGGTTTCTCCGGCGTGTTGCCTGTACCTGGAAAACCCCCAAATTGCTTCTGCACAGAGGACCCAGCTGTCTTTCCAGGTGTAGATGCACAGGTTGCATGGAATTGAGGTTGGGAAGGCCCTCATTCTGGCAGTGGTTCACTGTTCAGAATTTGGCAACGTTTATTCCTGTTTTCTCATTTGGGGAGTAGTCTTTGACCTTATTTTAGGACCAGTAGGACGATCAGTGAGGTCAGAGAAATGAGTGTACCTTGGGGGAAGGTGGTCCTGTAAAAATGCCCAGGGACATACTGCTGAAGGCCGCGTGGCCTTTGCTGAAGGAGCCTCGGGTCTGCAGAGCAATGGGTTGGCTTTAGAGCGCAGGGGCTGGTGGAGGCTATAAGCTCAGCACCTCTGGGAAGTAGCCGCGGACTGGTTCCTCAGGACAGTGACAGGGTGACTAGAGCTTGAATGCTGGAGGACAGGAGGTTGGAAGAAGCGAACCTCTCATGCTAGAGAGGGCTTCACAAGCTTTCTGCCGGTCCAGACTTGACCAGGAAGGTTCAAGGCCTGCAGTCCCAGCAGTCACGCGTCAGCTGAGCACACAGTGGTCAAAGGCATAGGGACCCTGGTATTCGGAATCACCCCCAACAAGCCAGCCAAAGCCTTCTTTTGCCTACTGTCAGGGTGGCAGTCTGGCACCCTGGTGGTTTCTGTCCCCATTCCCTCGCCTGCACCTCCAGGGAGGCACATTTTCAAGTACGGATCTCTTTTGTTCAGTTCTTCTCTCCCACCGGGACCTCTTTCTTTGAAGCCCACTGCTGCATGTGTACAGGCCTCATGTTCACGCACCAGTCACTTCTGTTCTGTTTGAGTAAAGTCCATGTCCAAACCACACGGTCCATGCATCTTTTTTTACTGCACTTATTAGATTCTCTCTCTCTCTCTCTCTCTCTCTCTCTCTCTCCTTATGAAAAAGGACTTCATTTATTTTTTAATTTTTTTTTTAATTTTTGCAGTAGAAGTATATCTAATTCCATTAGCTTAAATTTTTTGCAAGCATTTCTAATCTCTTACAATGTGCGGTCTCTGCAAGGTAAGGCCTCAGGTACCCTGGCCCTTTCCCTTTCACACCTGAGGTCCCGCCCATCAGGGCAGCACCAGCCGGCTGGCTCCCAGAGGTCAGTGGCTTCCCCAGGGTGCCCTGCCCATCACTTCCTCCCTAGCAGGCGCCATCCTTTCCATACACAGCCCCCTACCGACCCCACCCCCTCCCCAGCCTTCCCCTGCCATATGGTTTGGAATTTCTCTCCCCGGCTGGCTTCGCCTCGAGTGCAAGAGAGAATCAGAAACGCAGCTGCCCCGTCCCCTGGCAGATGGCACTGAGCCCAGATGGAGAGGCGGGCGGGCTCCTTCCTTGGTACAGCCTGGGACCATGCCTAAGTCAGAGGATGTGTTTTGTTTATCTACGGTCCCCAGGTGCCTCCCAGGCCCATTGTGATGTGGACCCAGCACCCAATCCCCACCCCCCTCCCTGCTTCCACTAGACCCAGACCAGGGTGGGGGCGGGGGAACAGATGCAGATCTGGGAACTGAAGGGCAGGAAAGGAAATGCGGTAGAGCCTGGAGCCAGCAAGCTCACTGTCTTTTCTGCCCCCCAGGATCCACGCACATTCTCACCCCACAGAAACTGCTGGACACGCTGAAGAAACTGAATAAAACAGATGAAGAAATAAGCAGTTAAACAAATAAGCCACCCCTCCAAAAAACAAACCCTATTCCCACAGTGCTCCGCAGCCCCTGCTGCTGCCCGCCTCGGTTACTTTGCTGACCCTGTCCCTCCACTGCCTCCCCCAGCTCTGCACGCCCTGGACGGCACTGTCGCCGCTGCGTTCTCGTGTTTAATGATGCCCTCTTCCTGTGTGAAACAAGAGAAAATAATGCATTGTGTTTTTTAAAAAGAGTATCCTCTATATGTGTCCTAAGGGGAGAAGTTCCTGTGTAAGGGACATACTGCTGGAGAAGTTGTGGAACTGTCTAGAATGAGTGGACACCTTCTCCCCATTACTATGATTCCCTGACCTTGTACATAGCCCAGTGTGACATGCGCAGATTGCTTGAGTATGGGAAGGTAGACGTTTGGGTGTTTTACAAAATCTCTTTTGGGTTGTTCCTGTTCTTTTCGGGAATCCCAGAGATGTCTGTTCCTGGAGTATTTCGAACTGAGGATTAATCTGTGGTCTCCACGCCAGTCCTTATCTACCCCTCAGCCTGCTCTCGTCCAGATACGCTTGGCGGTGAATGCCAGGTGACATCATCGTGTGAGGTCCGAGCTGGAAGTGACCTCTTTGGCTTCCCCGGTGGCTCGTCCTCCCCAGGGGCCGTGGGAGGGGCTGGAGGTCCGTGAAGTCAGGCTGGGTGCTGGCTGGCGTGCGGCCTGTCACCGCTCCTTCCCTGGCCCGCGTCCACAGCGCTGTGATCCCAAGGGAAGTAGTCTTGGGGCCTGAGTCACAGGGCCCCAGCAAGCGAGGAGCAAGCTCCCGCCAGGACCTTTGTCTCTTGGAGAAGCAGTTAGGCTGGGGTTTTTGGCCAGACCTTTCCTTTCCCGGGCACCACCCCCCCTACCGAACCTCTGTTTCTCAGTGGGGTCAGCATGGCTGGTGCTCGAGGGCCAGGAACGGACGAGGATGGGACGGGTAATGCAGGCTCCTGGGCAGAGGGCCCTTTCTTGCAGAGAAGGGTCTGTGCACCTAAGACTTCAAACCGCCAGGAGAACAGCCTGTTGAATTTATGCAGACTCTGTTCAGATCATCCTCAGTTTAAGATACTTCATGATACTTTATTTTGTGTAGCGTGGGGTCATTTGTCGTCGTGGTTGTAAGAGAAAATGATCATTTTATTCTCTGTATAACACTTAGCTCTAGAGCAAAAATGAAAGAAGCAAATGCAGAAAGGGTGTCTCGTCGTCCTCTAGACTCAGCAGCAACTCCGTTCTCCGATGGTGAGCGCACCACGTGTGCTGCTGCTGTGGTCATGAAATACAATGACAGTGGAAGTCACAAAAATGTCCCCTGCCCAGCCCCCCCGCTGCCCTTTAACCCCTGCCAACCGTGTGCATATTACTGTCTCGTGATGTCCTTGCAGACGTGGTGAGTGCTAGTTCCACGCGGCCGCCCGCTTTCCTTTCAGAGCGCGCTCCTCGCCCTCCCCGTCAGATGCTTTGTGGTGTTTTCTCAAGGCTTTGAAATCTCCCCTGCGCACTCGCATTAGTTTTCAGGCCTCTTCTGTCTCCCTTCTCCCCCTTAAGATACCTTGTTTCCTTAGGACAGAACTGTAGGTGCTCGCACTGGTTCGTCTCCTGCTGTCCCTGCTTGTTCTGTCCCCTCCCCTTGACCAGACAGGGCCCACAGTTCGGGGCCTTGTTTGTCAGACATGTTGGGTTTCCTCTCTCTGTTATTTATATAAAAATAATTTATCAAAAGAATATTTTAAAAAAGCTAGTCTGTCTTGAAACTTGTTTACCTTGAAATTATCAGAATCTCAGTGTTGGAAAGTATTGAAGCACAAACATGTATCATCTCTGTACCGTTCTGTACTAAAGCACTCAGTCTAATAAATAAATCGATCCGCACCCATTCACGGTGTCCGGGGCGTCTCCTGGTTTGGTTTCACTTTGGGGAGTCGAAGGAGAAAGGCTTCTGCCGTGGTCCGTTGCAGATGAGACCGCCACCCCGGCTGTGGCCTGGAGTCTTCTGGATCCCCAGTCAGCATCACTCGTAGTAAGATCTGTAATAGCTGGGGCGCCTGGTGGCTCAGTCGGTTAAGCATCTGACTTCGGCTCAGGTCATGATCTTACAGTTCACGAATTTGAGGCCCACGTCGAGTTCTCTGCTGTCAGCACAGAGCCCACTTTGGATCCTCTGTCCCCCTCTCTGCCCCTCTCCCGCTTGTGCTGGCTCTCTCAAAAATAAACATGAAAAAAAAAAAAAAGATCTGTAACCGTCTCACATTTTAGGACAGCCCACGAAGCTTGTCTTGGGCCCCGGGCAGCAACAGGACTCAGCTTGTGGACAAGGGAGCTCTTCCTCGTCTTCTCTCTCCTTACCTGGAGTGTCTCTCTAGCTCGGAGACTGTAGCTCCGAGACTGCAGGCCTCCATCTTGCAGATGCTGCCTGCTCACTGGCAGTGTATTTAGGGCGTGTGAGGAGGTCAATTTATCAACCCTCCCGTTCTCTCTTCCTGCTGCCACACCCTCTGGCCTCATGAGCTCTCCCAGTCAGACGGGGGTGTGTGTCCTGCTGCTCTGGAAGCCGGTTCAGAACCCGGGCAGACGGAGATGGGTTTGGCCCAGCATGGGGAGTACACCCTTGAGTTAGGGTTGGGGTCACACCGGAAACTTGCTGGCATAGGAGGCACAGGGGAGTGGGATTCTTTAGGAACTTCTGATTCTAGTCTTTGGTCCCCAGTGACCGCCTCATTCAAATCCTGATCTTCAAGGCATGAAGACTCCTAACAACTGGAGGCCAGTTGGTGGAAGTTCTACCTCCTCGACCCAGCTGGCTGCTGGTGAGACTTGCCTGATAGGTAATGATGCCAGTGACCATTTACTGAGTTCCTGCTCCGCGCCAGACCCCTCACGCTCTGTGTCTCTTGGGTGAGCCCCCTCCCAGTTTTACAGGCGAGGAAGCCGCGGCCAAGAGCGATGCAGTTAACCCACAAAGCCCACTCCAGCTGGGGGGCATCAGACACTCGTCTTAGGGCGGCAGTTGCTGCCCCAGTAACCAAACCCTGGAATGAGATCCAAGATCAGAATGTTTAAATTCTAAATTGTTCTGGGGGCACCTGGGTGGCTTAGTCGCTTGTGTGTCCGACTTTGGCTCGGGTCATGATCTCATGGTTTGTTGAGTTGGAGCCCCACATCAGGCTCTGTGCTGACAGTGCAGAGC